CACAGAGAGGAAGGGAGAGGGATAGATATAAGTTAGAAACATCGATAAGAGAGAAACATTGATCAGCTGCCTCCTGCACACCCCCTACTGGGGATGTGCCCACAACCAATGTACATGCCCTTGACCGGAATCGAACCTGGGACCTTTCAGTCAGCAGACCGATGCTCTATCCACTGAGCCAAAACCGGCCATATATATATATTTTAAATAGTGGGTGTTGCTCTAAGGTTTGGCTCAGTGGATAAAGCATGCAGGTCAAGGGCACATGCCCAGGTTGGAAGTTCGATCCCGAGTAGGGGGCGTGCAGGAGACAGGTGATCGATGTTTCTCTCTCATTGATGTTTCTAACTCTCTATCTCTCTCCCTTCCTCTCTGTAAAAAATCAATACAATATATTTTTTTAATAGTGGGTATTTTCCAAATAGTGGGTGTTTGGTCAAATGAAGACTTTGACCAAAGCCTTTGGGAAACTGAATCCAGAGCAAAGAGAAACATTAGCCCAGGGTTCCTGGTCCATCTGAGAGAGACCGAGCCCAGGCCCCGCAGAGCAGCTCTGAGCTGGCTTGAGAAGAGGAGATGGTCACATATGAGGGGAAGATGTTCCGTTTAGAAGTCCTTGCTTCAGGGTCCCCAAAGGCCAGGATTTGTGTGTCTCCCAATTCCAAATGTAAAGGAGCCCTGTGTGCACCTCAAATACAGGTAAGCTCATGCCGGGCCATGCGGAAGTCCCAAGACTCCCCAAGTTATCTGCAAATTCAAGGGGCTTTTCCTTGACATGGGGTCACCTGTTTCCTTCCTCAGCCAGACACTGAACCAGATTGGGTGGGGAGTAAAACAAGCTCAAACTCGGTCCACACACGACAGGCATGTGTGAATCCACTTCCCAGGGGCCTGGGGTGCCCCACATGCAGTGCATAGTCTGGTAGACTCCTTGACCTCAGTTTTAGGCATTTTGCCTTCTTTTTTGGTTCACTCCAGAGCTGGGGTCCTTCTCCCTCATGTCTCTTCACTGTGGGGTTTCCTGCCATGTTTTCTCATGAGCCTATCGTACTTGTGTTTAATAACCACGAGTGGCTAGTGGCCATCACGCTGGACAGCACAGACAGGAAACATCTCCAGCAATCACAGGGAGCTCCTCCACAGCACTCACTGGGCAGGATCTCTCCAGCCTCGGTTGTCTTGGCCTTTCTCGCCTCCTATATTCCTTGAGAAACAGCAAGTACCCTCTTCCTATCGCCATGGATGCTGAAGCCTGCAAATATTTTCTTTCTACATGTGCCTGATTCTATCATCTTTATCAGCTTGTAGATTCTGTAGAAGACCAGCGATTATCAGCCATGAAGACGCATCCAAGGGGTTCTCATTTGGAGTGGCAGTGTTTCTGACTAAAGCATGTTGTGCTCAGAATGGTGAGAAGAAAGGCCAATTGCCTCTGTGGTTTATTCATTGAGTGAACATGCTCTGTTGAGGCCTTGTATTTGCAGTGGCGTTTTCATTACTCATCATCATTTGAATCCAGGACTCGTCTCTATTTTCATAGGAGCATGGCCTGCCCCTTGCTGAGGGATAGGCCCCCTGGGAAACATGCCGTCCCTGCTGGATGAAGGGTGAGAGGCAAGTATGCAGGGTGAGAGGCAAGTATGAGTGCACGGGTGCTGTGCTCTGGGATGGAAGCCTCAAGAGGCCCCAGGGGCCTATCCCTCAGCAAGGGGCAGGCCACGCTCCTATGAATATAGAGATGAGCCCTGGATTCAAGTGATGATGAGTAATGAAAACGCCACTGCAAACACAAGGGCCTAGACAGAGCAGCCTGGAGAAGCAAGTCTGGGGCACACCTTGATGAATCTCAGTTACATCTGTGTAGAGGGAAATTAGCATCTCTTTCCTTTTCTTCTATAGTTTCATAAAATGAGTTTCTGATTTCTTTATTGATGCTTCTTATCTATTCATTTAATTTTTGCTAGAATCACTTCTAAAATTATCTTGAGGTGCAAAATTATATTTTTTTTAACTGTGCTTTCTTCCAATTATTGACCTTCCCCATAACTATCCACTAACTTAACTTCTTTGCCAACAAATAGCATAGATTATTTTTGCCTGTGCTTACTTTATATGAATAGCATCGTGTATTAGACTTCTTCTGGTCAACATTATGTTCCTAAGATTTATTTCATTACCATGTTGGGGTACCATTATTATTTATACTTTTTACTGTTGTTGGGCATTTGACTGATTTTCCATCTGGGGGTTACAATTATTAATATTTCTATGAACATTCTTGTCGATGTCTTTTGGTGAACATAGGGATAATTTCTGTAGTGTATTTACCAGGAAGGGAATAGTGTTAAAATGTAGCTATATGTTCAACTATAAGAAGTACTGAAGTTTCCCCAAGTAGTGATACAAATGTAGATTCTCACTAGGAGTGGGTGACAATTTTAGTTTTTCCATATTGTTGCTGACATTTTGTACTGGGTCACTTTTCCATTTGAGCCATTCTGGGGGTTACTATATAGTGTTGTTCTTTTAAAATGTAGTTGCCAATGGCATGCCTGCACATTGGAAGGAGGGATATGGTCTCTCCTGTCCTGTCCTCCTCCCAGTTTGCCAGCCGTGGTGTCTGCCACTGTGGAGTGAGGCATAGTGAGTAGGGACAGATAGAGGATAGATGCTGATGGAAAATGCATCATGATTCTGGTGGTAGAGATTTTAGACAGAGAACACGTGTGCTTGTCGCGTGCCCTGTTTATACGATTTTCATTTCCTCAGTGTAAATAATACATTACTCAAGGAAGTCTGTTGTTTTCATGAGCTTACCACTTGCTTTTGCTCTTGAATTTAAAAATTGGGTTTTCTAAGTATCTTTACAACCAGATAAATGGGGATAGATCTAATAAATGAATTTGGCAAAGTAGGAGGCTATAAAATGAATAATCAGAAATCAGTTGTATTTTTATACACTAGTAATGAACTATCAGAAAGAAGATCTAAGAAAGCAACCCCATTTACTATTGCAACAAAAAATATGACATACCTAGGAATAAATTTAACTGAGGTAAAAAACAAACAAACAACAACAACAAAAAAACCTGTACTCAGGAAATTACAGGACATTGAAGAAAGAAATTGAGGAAGATACAAATAAGTGGAAGCATATACTGTGTTCATGGAGAGAAAGAATTAACACTATTAAAATGTCCACCCTTCACAGGGAAATCTATAGATTCAACACAATTCCTATTAAAATGCCAATGGCATAATTCACAGATTTAGAACAAATATCCCAAAAAGTGTATATGGAAATAAAAAAGATTCTGAATAGCCACAACAATCTTGAAAAAGAACATAGTTGGAGATATCATACCACTCAATATCAAATTATCCACAAGGGCATTGTAATCAAAACAGCTTGGCATTGGTATAAGAAGAAGCATGGAGATCAATGAAACATAAAAAGGGGGCACTACTAAAATGTGTGAACTCTCATGGGATAGTCCTCTGAGATAGGAAGTCCCTGCAGGGGCCTGAGTCCAGGGGTAAGGAATGCAGTGCCCACCTTGCCTTCCTCTCTGTGTGTACTGCTCCGGCAGCAGAGCCGTGGGCAGATGGGGACAAGGACAAGGCTAATGGCAGAGATAGCCACAAATGACATTCTAATAGAGGATGGCTGCTGGGCTGACAATGGGCAGTGACAGTGAGTTATGTTTTAGGCATTAGAGGGTAGAAGCACTGCTAGAAAATGAAACTCAGCTAATTAAGACTTAATTATTACTGCCCTAGGAGACTTCCCATTTTGCATTTCCTTAGCCCTGCTTCATTAGAAGTCATTGGTTAGATCCTAAGCTCACTTCCAAGCCAAAAAATTGAGGGAGGAGGACATAAAAACTGGCCTTCGCAATCCAGAAATTAGGGGAAAGAGAGAGCAGCCATGAAGCAGACACAAGTCCCTTCTCAACCTGACACAGGGATGCAGACCTCATCAGTTGGGGTCTGGACCACAGAGAACAGAAATTCATTTTGTGAGTCCTCTTGGAGTTTCACCCCTTGTGTTTCATTGCAAAGGCCTTGGTGTTTTCAATCCGAGTAAAAAATATCCTGACTCCTGTACCTGCCTACACAACGCAGAAATACCACTGGTGACACATGGAAATGAGACCCGGCCAGAAACCTTCCTTCAGAAAGGAAGGGAATGAGAGGGAATACGTGGGTCTACCAAAAAATACCAAATCTGATTCAACATCCAAAACCACGTTCCTGACACCTCATGATCATAAGAAATGAATCGAATTAAACTAACGCCGTGTTATGTAACTGAGCAACCAGATGTCTAGATAGTGCTCTTACTTCAAACCACTGTGTTGAAGGATGAGTTGTAATAAGTCTAGCTGTTCCAGGAAGGGAGACCGTAAGGGAAGCATGACTCCAGGGCCACCAGTTGAGTAGAGTCTCAAGTATCCTGCGGTCAATTTAATAATCTCATGCCACAATATCTTTTCTGGGAAATGAGGACCATAATACCCTTCCCCACACTCCTCCTATTAAGGTTAATAAAGTAAGTGTGAACGTATTTTAGAAAGTTTAGTGTTATTCAGATGAAAGGAAATGGCATTATTGGGTAGCAAGCAGGGCATTGGAGTGGTAGCTATTCATCCCTGGCATACTGGTGCCCGAGACCCTGGGCCCCACATTTATAGTGCTCAGCTGGGCGACTGCTGACCATGGGTGTTTGCTGGAGGCCCTTTTCTTATTTCTTTTTTCTTTTTTCACTTTGAATGCCTTGCAATGGAGAAGCAGTCATAAGCATCAGTCCCCCGTTCCTTTCTTGCCAGTTAGAAAGAACAGCTGTCACCAGCTCGGAGCAGGGAGTCCTGTCTCCCTGGAACCAGTCAGGTTCATGGTTGGAAGGGAGCCAGACGTGAGCCACGCACACTCTTCATCTGTCCTGACTTGCTCCTCTTGACTTCCTTTTCCTTTCCCCTTCTTTCTTTTCAACTCTGCAGACCAACAAAGCCGTGGCCAAGGGAGACTTCCACCAGGCCAGCACCAGCTCTCGGCGGGCCCTCTTCCTGGCCGTGCTCTCCATCACCATCGGAACTGGCATCTACGTGGGCGTGGCCGTGGCCCTCATTGCCTACCTCTCCAAGAACAATCACCTATGAGCTTCTTCCGCGCACGAAGGAGGAGAACTCGGGGCCGGTGTCGTGCCCGCGCGCAGAGCGAGCAGGACTGGCAGGGGAGAAACACCTGTGTGATGCTGTGTAGTATAAATTATTGCCAAACAACTCCATCACACCCTGGAGTTTTCTACTCATCAGTTTGTTTTGTTTTTACCCTTTTATTTTCACAACACGTTGTAGAACAGGAGACAGCTGGGCACCGCTAACCCTTCCCAGTGGAAGCTCCAAAGATCCTTACCCTGAGGGCTGTGTCTGGATGGGTCTGGTGGACCAGTGGCAGTGCTGTTCTCGGGCAGCCTGCCAGAGCCTGGAAAGCCATAGCACTAGCAATATACAAATAGTAAAACTGTGTCTATTTTTTATGGGATATGGTGCAATAGGCAGAAGGCCGGGGATGTGTCACTCTTCTGTCTGTTGCCCTGCTTGATGCCTCTGCCATTTTCCCAGTCCATGTACCTTCCCGTGGAGAGGAAACAGGGGTGATCAGAAAAGACAGACAAAGCTGCTGGCAGGAACCCTGCTGTCTGTGGTCTTCAATGGATGCAGCCCTAAGAATGCCAAGTCAGAACAGTGTGGGACCAGTCCCCAGGCCCAATCTGTCCTTTCCCCCCTCTCCCCAGCCTAGGCTCATCCAGCCTCCCTTGTCATGTCCAAACTTAGGACTCACCACACAGCAGTCTGCAACCTTGGGCCTCATTGATCTAGGGTGGGGGGAGCAGGCCACCGGCTGGCCCAAGACTCCTCCCGGAAGGACGTCGAGGTTGGCTCCAGGAACTGTGGACTCCATCTCAGCATAAAGACCAGCGTTGGCCCCCGCCTTGGTGATAAAAGGGGCGCTAGTGATCTTAGAAGGAGATGAACCTTCTCTGTCAACTAAATGAATAGCTATTTTCTTGTCATTTTTTAAGTGCAACTACTGCTTCATGCTGCTTAGTTATCAGGCGACTGCTGAGAAATAATCACAGACATTTTAATACCATTTCATTGCTGTTTCACGAGTGTTCATTATTTAACAAAAATTATCTTTTAGCTGTTTGGTCTAAGACTTTTTTTTATTAACACTATTTCTTAGCTTTCACTTATAATTGTTTCTTTTTAAAATAATTGAAGAGCCAGGCAAGACTTGGATGCTAAAACTGGAGAAGGGTCTCCTAAGATGAGAATCACATCATCTCTGACTGCTTACGTTCCACCTGGAACACTGTTCACATGCACTGTTGTTCTGATACTTTCAGTGGATGCTGAGACCATCTCTCTAGGCCCTAGGATAACGGTTTCATCCCAGCACCTACAGCATCCCTGCTGCCTGGACTCCAGCCCCAGATTTCTGATTTGATTGATTGGTGTGAAGCCTGGTGATCCCAGTGTGCGGAATCACTGTCCTGGAATAAGGACTCTGGTTTGATCTTCCTTACCCTTGACTTTAAACACTTAATATTGTGAAAATTATTAGCACTGCCTTCCTAAGTCAAGTCTATGATCTTCTACCATTTGGTTGTAATAGCTGCTTCAAAAATGTGCTATAAAAATATATATGGAAGAAATCCAAATGCCCCTGTAAGAATCCAAGTAATCCAGTGATAACGGGGATTTGAGATCAAACCAACCTGGACTTGAATCCAGTTGTGCTGTTTTCTAGCTGTGTGATTCTGGGTAGATGGGTGTACTTTTTGGAACCTCATCTCTAGAAGAGGATAAGTGAGGCCCATTCCTAGGATGGCTAGTAAGTGTGTGCACACAGAGCCCTAGGTCATGTGAAGGAGCTGGAGTGGCCACTGTCATTCCCAGTGTTTGGGTAATCATCCCCTGGCTTGCTTGTACCGTCCCATCATTTCAGCCCAATCTCTCCAGGTTCATTTATCAGGAACCTCTGTGTGAAATGGGCTTCTTCGTATTTGTCCACAAAAAAGTTTATTTGAAGTTTAAGAGGTGCCCAAAGTTCCATGACTTTGGATTTGGTTAAGAAGTAAAACCAACACTGTATGTATGTCATGTCCCCCATCTCACTACCTCATCATGGTTGCTCTGCACTAACCCTTTTATGCCCAGACACCCTGTCTCCTGCTAGACCAACCTCCCACTTCTCTCAGGCCCTGCCTTTCCAGTTGGAAAAGCTTTCATTTCCAGTGCATCATCCCTCTGTATTTTTTGAAGCTTTACCAAGTCCTTCCCAAGGACCAGCATGAGGACCACATGTAGTACCATATGGTGTAGATGGTCATATGCATAGGGTTAGGGCCCAACCTGTCAGGACAGCTAAATGAAGTGGGTGTGGCCTCACAGCTCACTGGATAGATAGACACAACATAACCCATTGTTCTCTGACCAGTGAGGGAGCTGGATGCATGTCACCTCACTGTCCTGTTAGTGACTGCTGAGCAGCATAACAGTCTTTTAAGTGAATTGGGGCTGTCATGAACTTCTAAAGTCACATTATCTTAGTTGTCATCACAGCCACCGTGGACGAGACAGTGCCCTGGGCGGGCCCTACATTAGTCACTGGGCCTACATTATCTCATGTATCCCAAGGACCTCAGAGGCAGGTGAAAAGGTGATAGAACTGAGGTTCAGAGAAGGTAACTCACCCAGCACCACACAAGTGGCAGCTGTAGAATACCCCAGCCCGTCACCCCCCCCTACCCCCAGGCAACATAGCGCCTACTGGTAGAACCTGCTTCCACGCCCCTCATCATGAGAGACAGCCTTCCCTTCAGCAGCTCACTCCACTTTGTAAGTGCTCTTTATTACAACCATTTTATTGACATACAGAGACCCAGAGCACATTCATAATTTTCCTCTAAGTCATGCATCTGGAAAACAGCAAAGCCAAGATACATCCTAGACCATTAGATCATGAACCCCCTCGGATTCCTCTTACACTGTTACTTAGTTGTGGTTTATAAGCAAGAAAAAATGCATCTGGGCCAAGACCCCATTGTTGGTGTGCCAAGACTCTTAGGGGTCTGGAAAGATGCTTTTGGTTTATGTTTCACAGCCTGTCTTTGCCACTAAGTGGTGGGACATTGTGGTGAGGGGGGGGAAGATTGAGTTGGCTTCCATGGGAAATGACACCTTGGCAAAGGTGACATGGGCATATCTTATTCCTGTGCACAATGCTCTCCTTCCCACAGCCTTAGAGGTATCCCTGGATAACCCGTCTCCACCGGCCACCAGGCTCTTCTCAACCCTGCTTCACTAGGCATGCCTGGCCTCCTCGGGTGTCCCTCCTTCACCAAATGCCTCTGGTTTCACCAGGTGTTCCCTCCTCACCAGATATCCCTACTTGCCCAACTCTCCCCAAGGAACTATAATGGGCCCAAGGAGAACATGGTGAGAGAAGCCACATCCGTAGGTCACTGTGTCATCAGCAGCTGCCCAAGGTGCCACAGACAATTAGGCCATCCAGCTAAATAGAACCAGGGCCCTGACAACAGGACCAGCCTCTTCAAAAGCTGGGGAGGGCACCCCTCACACCCAGCCAGTCTCTCTGCACCTTTTAAGGTGCTAGAAGCCTCCCTCATCTGAAGCAGCTTCTGGATTTAAAATGCATTAATGGAGCAGCCTTCCCACATGCCAACAAATCCTACTGCTCCAGGATATACAAACGTCCAATGGTCACCACAGCTAAAGCCAGGGCCACAGCTGCCTTTTCAGAGGTCCTGGCCTGGGTTTCTGAGCTTCACCCCTGAGGTTTCATTCCTAACCCTTATGAGAGCAACTTGTGTTTCACTCTTTCCCCCGCAAACACCACCTTTGTTGCCATGAGTGTTGACATCTGTTGCCCAATTTACCAATAAACCATTTAGTGTAAATGGTTTACCCTAAACTGAGGCTGACCCTAAAAATGCAGGTGTCCCATCTCCTCCCTAGATGCCACCTTTGCATCTGTCTCTGCTCTTGATGCCATTAGAAATATTAGAGGAAGCCAGAAGTCGTGTGTGAAGCTGTGGCTCTGATGTCTCCACCCCCATGACCTCTTGAAGCCCCTGGTCTTCAGGATGCACTGAGCTAGCCCCTGCGGTGGGGGAATCGCACTTCCCCGGAGTTCTCATTTGAAGACCGCACATCTTAGGAAAGCAATGGTGGACAATAGACCCACCGATAGCTGAGGCCAGCAGACTACTGACTCCCTGCCAAACAAGCATGTAAATAAAGAAGTGAACTTGTCCCCTCTCTGAGCCCCATAAGAGGGATCAGGGCTCCACATGGGTGAGGAGGGAGTGGGTGGTAGCTGTTTGCCATGTGTTTAAGGTACAGCAGGGTTCTGTGAGCCAGAGGCTGTCCTGCATTGCAGGAAGAATGTTGGTGTGATCACTGATAACAGCCAGTACACTGCCCCACACAGAAGGTCATGGTCATCAGGAGTGGAGTTCCCTGTGGGATTTCCTAGTAGAGATTGTGTCTTCAGTGAGTCACAGGTCAGGGAAGATTACTGGAGGGCTCTAAAGATTTTCCCACACCCACCACACAGAAAAGAGAGCATGGCAGGATGATAGGGGTGATGAGGTGGAACATGGGTACCTGCATGGATAAGCACTGAGCTGAAGGCATTCCCAGGGGTGGGGCTAGCCTGGGCTTTTCAAATCCAGACAATGGTGAGAGGAGCTGCCTCCCCAGAGTTTTGTGCTGCAATTGCTCTGGACTTTGGGTCACGGTTCCTCTGCTGTTAGGATGACTCTGGGTTCCAGGCCTAGAGGTGGCTGTTTTTTCACCCAGAGCTAGGGAGACAGGCTCCTGAACCTGAATTCAACTTTTAGCCATGCTCTCCACTGACCAGCAGGGAGTGACTAAAAACAAAGTACTCTGCCCCCTCCCAGGGGGGAGGAGGGAGAGGCAGGTAAGTGCCAGAGGATGTATTCACTGCATCCCTATGATCTCTAGCAGACTATGCCTGGTTTTTCCACTAAAATTAGGCCATTATGGGCCAATAGAAAGATCAAAGTTGATAGATGGAAGGAATGGAGGAAAGGAGAGAAGGAAGA